CCTGTGTTTTTAATTCTAATTTCGTTGGAATTTATCAAAACTCCCTAAAATGCGCAATTTTTAGAGGAAATTGGCGAATGTCAACAAGAAATTTGAGGTTTTTAGGCATTTTCAGAGGATGAAAAGGGCATTTATAAAGGGGTGGGGAAGATTTTCCAAAGATAGATATTTTCCCCTTGTCCCCCAGTGGTTACGCCATCGGGCAGCATAGATCAAAGGAGTTATATGACAGTTTTTGAAGTGGAGGAGGGGTTGCAGGGTGTTGTGAGTCTGGTCATTATGATATCTTTCTTTTTATTCTTGTCTTTATTTTTCTCTTCTCTTTTTCTTTTCCTTTCCTTTTCTTTTCCTCTACTTTCTCTTACCCTTCCTCTTCCCTCTTTCTTTTCTCTTATTACCCAGCCCGGTACGACGACTTGCTCAGCCCGGTAAAAACTATCAGGGGAGGGGCAGTTCCCCCCTCCCCCCAATGAAAAATACTTTTCTACGCCACTGGCTACAATCTCCGCATATAAGCACTCTGAGTGTATCTACAGATAAGACCATCGCTTAACCAAAAATTATCCAGGCTCAACGCATTGCATTCAGTAATCCCACTAGGAATGGTGTTTCAAAAGTTTAGATCAATATCAAATGGAATACACAACAAGAAATTATATGACCTGCGTCTGCTCATAAAACCCGACAGTTCCCCCTCTCATTATCCCCTGTGTTCCGCCTCGCATGATACGATCACAAATTAATTTACGGTGCTATTATTTCAATCGTTATATATCATTGTTCTTAGTACAGTATATGCGCAACACTGAATACCTGGCCATACCCAATCAGTCTGCAGGCCCCGGGTACGTGGGTGGCAGGTATGACGGGTGCGCACCTTCCTCCTCCCCAATTGCCAAATGTCCAAATTTTCCGAGTTAGAAAATTCAGGTCACAACTGTCTCACACGTCCCAGAAATCCATCCACCGAAACTCCTTTCTATGGTTTCACTAAAATTACCTTTATGTTCTCGTTTAGGCCTATGTCTGCGAGTGCCATTCCTCTGGCCTTCTAGAGGTCCCATAATCATAAACACTTTCTTACCTCAGCCCCACCCATCTCACTCTTGCCCCTTCATATTCCTGGACCGCCACTTATAAAACGTTTAATACTGTTCAAGAGCCGAAGTCCCGCACAATTTTCATTATTCTATGTGATAAAAGATAGAAATCAGAGGTTTTCACAGCGTTATAATTTCACTTTAAAAAAATAAAAAAATAAAAAATTAACGCAATGTGTAAACAAGAAAATAAATTCATTTATTTATTTAAGGCCTATTTATTTATTATGTTCCGTTTATATTATTGCTTTATATTATTTTTCTTTAATAGATCATGTAATTGTTTAATCACATTTCTGTCACCTATATTTTCTATCATTGTGTTTTTAGAATGCGTGCGTCCATGATGGACCTGAAACTTGACTTTTGTCAATAAATTTTGTGTTAAAGTTAGGACTATATAGTAAAGTGTTGCTGAAGCTTATAATTAGTTTGACTCACCGTTAAACGGTGCACCATCACCGAGTCTAATTAAACGGGACAATGACCAGAGTGATTTCTGAAATATTATCCTCTCATCATTTAATAAGAAAAACGAGTATAGTGCCTATTCGTCGCTGCCAGCCAGTGTGTTAACAGGAACATTCATGAAATATTCTACTCTTCACTCTTAAAATCAGGCTCCGGAGGAAAAAAAATTGATATTTTGTAGAACTGATTTTTCTAAGACAGAAAAATGTAGTTTGATCAAAAACTGAGCAACGGTGAATGAGATAGAAATTTTTGAATATTTAAAAACTGGGGGAAAAGGAGCGTAACCACCCATTTTTACATCTTTTTCCCCCAGTTTTTAAGTATGCTATAACAACTGCCTTAAGATTCTAAAGAAACCTAAGTTTTGCAGTGCTAGTGATCTCTTTGCCACCGTGACTGGCTTACCGTCATTTGGTGATATATGAGAAAGTCGGTTTTTAACTGTCTGACTAGAATTGATAAGTCTACAAATATACTTGTGAAGTGCATAAATGTACATGTTTTAAAACATTCTAGATTATGGTTAACATGGTGTAAGGTGCTTCATTGTTAATATTACAATGTACAATGTATTTTTATAACTTAGGCACACCTGCTCACGGTTATTTAAATTTTTCTTATATATTCATACTTATTTGTGTGCTATATGGATATGATATCTGAAATAAAAAGTTGATTGATTTTGATTGATTGATATGTTTCTATATTTATTTTATGTAAATATTAAAACTACTGTATTAAGAACAGGCTCGTGCATCTTGACAGGAGCAATCGGATAAGACCGACATAAGAATACCATGTGCTGTTCTGAAAGACTCATGATTGCGGACTACAAGTGGAAAATATATACTGCACTCAGCCCCGTCCATTGTATGCCATATTCGGAGATTTGCATTTGAACATTATTGTGATTTATTTATCTGTTTGCTCAAATATGATTTAAAAAGATTAACTTAATTGCATTAATTAGGCCTATACTAATTTCTAAAAGATGTCAAAAATTATCGTATAACAGTCTTCTGTATTTCAATTAATTTTTTTTTTTTCAATTAAGTTTTTTATTTTAATTTTAGAACTGGTACTGTGGTATCATGGGCATTTATAATGCGCATCTTCCCCGCGGTTTAGTAGGCCCTATGAAGTTACTCCGGAGTACGCACCATTAAGTTGTTAATATGTGCCACTGTTGTAAAAATAATCAATCAATTTCAATTGAATTGAACAACTAATACATTATGCATTATGTTGTACGATGTAAAAACGCGGAAGAAGAGACGACGACTATGGTTCTTGCCTGTATGGTTGGTAGAGTGATGTTACCGAAGGCAATCGTAACTGCATCTGTGGCGGCGATTGCCTTCCATATTATGATGGCGCAGTGACGATTAATAGACTATTCGCACGCTGCCGTGCAAACAGTCACATCAAATCTTTCTGTTCACGTGATTATACCATAGTCAGGAGTCAGGTGGTGGCACTGGACAACTTACCGGTACCCGTTTACAGACCTGTGACATTGGTAATATGATCATAATATGATGCAGTTTTGACGTCTACGCCATATGCATCAAAATAAACAATGAACCAAATTATATCTTCAGTGTTTTGCATTTTACTACTAGCTACTACAGTCGTGGTTAAGGTGATCTCAGAAGATAAATCAGAGTCTGGAAAAGGAGGAAGTACGAAGACAAGTGAAAATGCCGAAGCCGACAAAGCCCTGGAAATTTGTATCTTTATTTAGGCTATGCCTGTTTAGATCGACCCGTTTAGATCAGCTGGTAGATGCTACCATGCTAGGGCCTACTAGTAGTTAAGTAGGTTCAGCTCTTGATTCAGGGAGTGGTACTACTAGGTCTGGCTTATGCCTGTATTAAATTTTGAATTTTGAGTGTGTTTTGGCTCGCATGATAAAATAATTTTAGAAAAGAGGCAGCGCACTTTTCATGTTTTTAAATATCGTTATAAAAAAAAGTAAATTATTAGATTTAGTAGAGACAGACATATGGAGGGCCTAGGCTAGCTGCCTAGTTCTGTGGTACTACACCTTTAGTTATATCAATTACTGTACAGTATTTGATTCCCAGTGTATATAGCCAAGGCAAGTTACTGGTTTTTGCATTTGCTTGTCTTCATTTTCTGTTTTATCTTAATAATATTTATTGTGTAAAGTATTCCTATAAAGATAAGGTATCGCCAATATTTATATCAATAACT